GACAGACCAATCCATAATAATGAATCCACCATCAATAGGTAACACAATAGAACGGGATTTCAATTAATCCTTGCTTCCAGTGGAATATTTTAATGATTCGGTATATGTACTTTATTTGTTTTGGTTGCCCTTTAGCTGTTCTTGAGTACTATGTTGAGTCCCCTCGATAGGCTACCACCATTTCGCAACGAAAATCCAGTTGTGGTGCCACTTCAAGACTCTGAGAAGTCTGATTGGACTCTCTTTGGTCTGGTCACTCACCTTAGACCTTACAAGCTTGGTTAGACCTGTCAGGAACTTCAGCCCCCCGCATTCCACCCTTTCTGGATCACAGAAATACACAGGCCTTCTCACTACGAGAAAGTAAAGGCCCACCCACCTTGAAGATGGCAAATATCAGAAGCAATCTACACCAACAAAGGAGTAAGACAAGAATGTAGATTGTCATCACTCGCCTAATACTTACATTAATAGAGATATAAAAAAGTGGACACTAAACAGCTATAAAGTCGGTCACAGTAGCCGAGAGGTCTAAGGCATGTACTGTCTTCGCTCGCTTGGAAACCGGGATCGTGGGTTCGAATCCCACTCGGGGCATGGATGTTTAGTTTGTGTGTGTGTGCGTTTTTCTGTGTTTGTGTACATGTAGAGGCCTTGCGACGAGCTGATCACCCGCCCAAGGAGTCCTACCGAATGTGTAAGATCTAGAAAAACCGAAGTGAACGGAGGTAAGCCTAGGCCCACTGGGGCTGTACTCGTAGTGCCAAAGAAAAAAAAAAACAGCTATAAATGACAGTCAATTTACCGTAGGGAAAATAAACAACATTATATGGGGATGATCATGTTATAATAGAAAAATCCGATGACGAGTTACAAATGACATAAATAAGCCAAATAAAGTAATTAAAAGTATGACATGAAAATATCCCTTTCCAAAACAGAAGCAACAGGATTCTGTAGGAGGGGACGGAACATAAAAAGGCTCAAACTAGAAATGTAAGGAACTATTATAGAACATGTTTCTATTTTTAATTACTTAAGCTATCGAACATCAAATGATGTTAAAGATATTAGCATAAATATAAAAAGATATAATATAACGCTCGATATAATTGAAGGTCACTTGAAAATATGGCAACAGAGACAAAATTACAAATATGTAACATTATTTCTAAAGCAGCTTTGTGCTCCGGCAGTGAAAACTTAATTACGAATAAGAGGAATGCCTCAAAACTGGAAGCTACACAAATAAAAATCTTAAGACCATTAATTGACCTTACGAAACTGAACCGCGAAGGAAACTCTAGCATAGGTTAAAAGCGAATAACCTTACTTAAGACGTAAAATTATACTCGTATCAGAAAGCTGGTTAGATCACCTGGAAAGAATGGACAGAAATAGCTTACTCAAACTAGCTTTTCGATATCAACCCAGGGAAGACCCATAAAAAGCCGGAAAGATCAGAACACCTTGAGCTATAAAGGGACAGGCCTTAAGACCTAACCCTCGTTTATGTTCATGAAGAAGAAGAAGAACTATGCATCAGAACATAATTCTCATAATAAGTGGTAAATGTAAGGTCTGTCATATTTAAAAAGCAACACGTGCCGTGAGAAGTGCCGACGAGGAAGAAACAGAGGCAAGTTCAATTTTCGGATGCTGAGGAGGTGCATGGCAATGTTCCTGGAAACAAAATGTTGTTGTCAGTGAGAACAAAATATTCAGTGGACAGAAATATATATAACCCTCAAACCAGTATGAAAATCAAAGGAATCGTTACACACAAATATGTCTAATGAATTTGGAACAATTCTTACAGATAGTTAATTTTTTTAATGTGTCTTACATAACTGATACATATATAGGAAATAACGAAACACGAGTATTCCCAGCAAGCTACTGTACTTTTGGATACTTCTGAAGACGGTAGTTGCACAAAATGGAGTAGAAACTGTACACAAATACAAGTGTAAATGAGGAAGAGATTTCAACAGTGTCATGCATAATCAGACTTACTATTTACGGGCAGAAAACGGCGTTGGCCATGAGGATATCAGAAAGTGACAATCTATTATCAAGTGCTTATTAATCACCAATTGAGTTTCAAGCAAAAGACACACAGAGCAATGTGCACGGTATGCACTATAAAACAGAAATAACGTGTAAGATTTGAGGTTTTCACGACGGTAACTATAAGAAGAAAGTCGTCCTCTTGGATGTGGTGCCGTGCGGATATTGTGCAAAGCGACTTTTCGGAGGAACTATCACCTCCATCTTCAGGATATAAAAACTCCGCGAGCGAGGAATCAGTGTGAGCAGGTGGCAGCCACTTGACACGTATATCTAATTAATTCCAGGATGGTCTCCAGTTTTAGGTCCCTATGCAATATTTCTCTGGCCGCTAGACATAGTAGTTTCGAAACGATTTTCAGATATTAATTTTAGAATCTTTGAAGGTCTGAGGTATAGAATCTAGAGGTAGGATGCTATTTGTTGAACCCCCCTCAATACCTGAATATTGTAAAACTCTTATATTTCGATTAATTTCATGGTTGTGGTTATTCACGTTAAAATGACCGTTTTAGAAAGAAGTTTACGTTAGCTTTTACGACTATCCAAGGTCAGACAACCTATTATGTCATGTTCCCAACGACATCAGTGCATCTGTAACGTAATTTTAAGGATTTAACTGTCTGTATCATGGTAACATGTCTGAACTGCATAAACCAAGCTCGACATGATGCAGTATATACAATTTCTTTCTCTGCAGCAATAACAAAAGCAGGAGGGAATACTTGTTTTACAAACTGCAGTACTGAAGTTGTCTCAAATTAATGAGTGCGAGGAATGTAGACTGGATTCACCTGGCTATAGATAGCATCAAGTTGCATGGTATTGACCCTCTGACTTCCATAAAAGGAGGGTACACCCTAAAGCGAGAGTTGGTTTCTTGAGACGTACTCTGTTCCATGAAGTAAACTTTCCTTCCTTAACGCCTTCTTTAAGATGTAGCATGACTAATTCAACTCATGCTGATCACAGCGGCTGCGCGGTCTAAGGCATGAACAGTCTTCGCTCGCTTGAACGCTGGGATCTTGGGTTCGAATCTCACTCAAAGGCATGGATGTCCGTGTGTGCATTTATTCCGTGTTTTTGCTGTCATGTGTGTAGTTAGCGGCCTTGAGACGGTCTGGTCACTCGCCCAAGGAGTCTTACTGTCTGTGTAAGAAAGATTAGGGCCCAACAAAAGGCTGTAGAGCCATTGATGAAAGAAAGAATGAATGAATGAATTGGCCTAATGGTTACTTACTGCAGATACAAAGTTTGTACAAAGAAGATTACAATTTACCTAATTAAAACGTGTGAGGAGAATCAGCTGAAATAGGCTGAACTCCTTTCTTCTGAAATACTGTTTATTTGCATGTTTCTTTTTAGATTTTATCATCAGTCATACGGCGTAATATTTAAATTATGGATAAATTTACAGGTGTGTTTATCGAAATACATTAGCTTCGCATCAGTTTTCGAGTAAAACTTATCTAAATTATTAGCAAATCCATTAGTAAGCTGTTATATGCACGACTATGTCTCAATGACACAAAGAATTACAAACACAGGCATCGTCAAATCCGTTAGTTTGCATATATAATACAATTATTCATGTTACGAAATCAGAAAACATTTATTTTATTCCGTTAATCATTTAGTATAACGAAAAGTGTTTACGTAAAAGGCTGTAGCTTAAAACTATCCATATTTTATATTACGTATAATGTTCTGCAGCCAATCACAGTGGCCGCGCGGTCTGAGACACGAACTGTCCTCGTCTGCTCGAATACTGGGATCTTAGGTTCGAATCCCACTTCAAGCATGGATATTGGTGTGCATTTATTCTGTGTTTGTATTCTCCTGTGTGCATGTAGAGGCCTTCCGACGGGCCGTTTCCCCGCCCAAGCAGTCTTACCGACTGTGTAAAAGTCAGGAAACTGAAAGAGCCGCCAAGACCCAAAAGAGAGCTGTAGAGCCATAGACAGACAGAGAGGCAGGAAGGCAGGCAGAGATAGATAGATAGATAGATAGATAGATAGATAGATAGATAGATAGATAGATAGATAGATAGATAGATAGATAGATAGATAGATAGATAGATAGATAGATAGATAGATAGATAGATAGATAGATAGATAGATAGATAGATAGATAGATAGATAGATAGATAGATAGATAGATAGATAGATAGATAGATAGATAGATAGATAGATAGATAGATAGATAGATAGATAGATAGATAGATAGATAGATAGATAGATAGATAGATAGATAGATAGATAGATAGATAGATAGATAGATAGATAGATAGATAGATAGATAGATAGATAGATAGATAGATAGATAGATAGATAGATAGATAGATAGATAGATAGATAGATAGATAGATAGATAGATAGATAGATAGATAGATAGATAGATAGATAGATAGACGTATAGCAAGGTGAGCCACTTCTGAGAAACTCGATAAACTCGGATTCGAGCGTCATGTAAAGCAGGTTATGACAGCGACAGGATACAAGTAATGTTTCGTGAAGATATCAAAACCAAGTGCAGGGTATGATCCACAAATAATCTGAAGTTGTGGAGGTAAGACCTACTATTCTCCGTTCAGATGGAGGAGACAATTAACGATATTGTCGGCAGCCCGGATGTGACGTCGAATGGTTAGGATGATTAATGAATTGGAAAGGGTTTGGAAGAAGCGGTCATGTCCTAATTTGAGTTCCTACCCCGCCATTTTGCTGGAGAGGCTGAGTAAACCACGAAAACCCACAGTAAGGGTAGACGGTCTCCAGGCCGAGATTTGAACCTGGGATATATCAAATATGAGGCACAACTGCTAACCATTTGGCCGCGACGTTCAGTCATTCTCCATTGTGAATTCGTAGCAAAATGTGTGCAGCACACCACGCACATGCATTCACACAGCGCTTGCTCCGCACCCACAGCCGCAGCTGATCACGAAATACAGCTATCCGGAAGAGACGCACAAGGTACGCACTGCCGACGGCTACGTTCTGACAGTTCATCGCATCCCACACACACCGACAGAGCAGCAGGCAGATGACAGACCGCCCGTACTTCTACTGCACGGCCTTCTCGGCAGTTCAGCGGACTGGGTCATCGCTGGTCCCCACAAGGGACTAGGTAAAAAGAACAAGTAAATCTTAATCACGTTTAAGGAAGGTCAGTCTCTCTGTCGCATTTTGGATCAGACCCAAGTGATAATACGTGCCAATGACATTAAAGTCCTTGATTAAATACTCAGAATATGTAGGCCATACGAGATCACCATATATCAACAACAATCCCAAACTTGTTAGGCTTAGGCCTGAAGAAATTGCAAGGTGCCAAGGATCTTCAAGTTTCTTTATTATAAAGATTCGGCCCGTATGGCAAGCTTAATCAATCCAATCAGCCAACCTAATTCTGACATTTCTCCCGTCTGTATCCCCCTCATAGGTAATGAGGTTTCTAACTCACAGAGAAGATCTGTATCACATGACAGATTCTTCATGTCTTTCCACAAGCGTTTGGTCTCGAGTGTTCAGATTTTACTCCATAGATGGCACTAGTGGTAGATAAATTTCTACCTCCCTCTCTCCTGAGGACGGAAACAAATTCATTTTCCGAAACTTCGTGTTTTCTATTCTCTAGAATACCGGAAGATGGAAAAAGTCCAAAACCCCCATTAATTCTGTGTGTTGTACACCATCGTCGTCATTTTGCCTGTGGTTCTGTATGGGTGTGAAACTTGGTCTCTGTTATAGAGTGAGGGTGTTTGAGAACAGGGTGTTGAGGAGAATAGTTGGACAGAAGAGAGATGAAATGACTGGAGGTTGGAGAAAACTGCATAATGAGGAGCTTCATAACTTGTACTCTTCTCAAAGTATAATTAGAATGATCAAGTCAAGGAGGATGAGGTGGGCAGGTCATTTAGCACGAATGGGGGAGACGAGGAATGCATATAGGATATAGGTGGGAAAGGCAGAAGGAAAGAGACCACTTGGAAGACCAAAGGGTAGGTGGGTGGACAATATTAAAATTGATCTTAGAGAGATAGGATAGTATGGATTGGATTGATCTGGCTCAGGATAGAGACCAATGGAGGGCTCTTGTGAACACGGTAATGAACCTTCGGGTTCCATAAAATGCTGGGAAATTCTTGAGTAGCTGCAGAATTGGCGGCTCCTCCAGAAGGGCTCAGCTCCATAAGTAAGTATACACCATCTACAGAACCCTTTGGGATCTACAAGTTTTTTTTAGTTTCTTACTTAACGACGCTGACTATATAGAGGCGATAATTCAACAGTTAATTTATATGGAACAGTAGAGTGGAATTGTAGAATGCGAAGTGGCAGGGAAACGGAAGTAATCGGAGAAAACCTGCCCCACAGCCAATTAGTCCACCACAAATCCCATATGACCCGACCTAGAATCGAAACCAGGCAGCAGTGGTGGGAAGCCAGCAACTAACCGCCTGAGCTATGACCAGGCAAATGACCTTCAAACTATTCAGACGTCCACACATGCTGCAGTTCAGTACTTCCAGCATCACGGCAAATTCAAAACAAAATGTATACCTAACATGTCAATCGATTTAACGTTTATTTCTGAGGGGAATAACATCGACTATGAGTTGTCTTAGGCCGGTCACGGTAGCCGAGCGGTCTAAGGCATGCACTGTCTTCGCTCGCTCGGAAGCCGGGATCGTGGGTTCGAATCCCACTCAGGGCATGGATGTTTGTGTGCGTTTTTCTGTGTTTGTCTACAGGTAGAGGCCTTGCGACGAGCTGATCACTCGCCCAAGGAGTCCTACCGAATGTGTAAGATCTAGTAAACCGAAGTGAAACAGAGAGTTTCATGGAGGTAGGCCAAGGCCTAAATTCGGGATGTTGCGCCACAGAAAAAAAAAGAGTTGTCTTAAAGGAAATACGACAAGGACGTTTAAAATGACTATGTTGATTATTTTCGAAGGTCAAGCACGAGGACACACGACCTCACTATTCAACATTATCAGCGTCCTTCTAGGAAAAAAATTATAGCTATATAACTCAATCATAAATGCTTACAACGTAACTCAGAAAGGCCAAGATTTCACAGTTATATTTAATTCATCACGAAGCCATGAAGATGTATGGAGGGCTGGAGATAAAGCCACACACGTCTGCAACCTTGTCACTAGATGAGAGTGAGCTTCACACTTAAACCACTTCATTCCGGGGAAAATGCAACCCGTACTCATTTGTAATACGAGTCCGAGTGGAGTCTTAGAATATGTTAGGCGTCTAGATGCGGTGGCAAAACAAATATTTCTACGCTGCCAGGAATCAAACCATGGCCACCCAGCCCATATCGAGCCACAACATTGAATGGTATATCCTAGATCCATAAAAATCTACATTAATTTAAACTGATGCTTAAACACTTGTCATATTATGGCTCTGTAACCTACTATAGACTACATGGCAGAATCGAAACGAAATTTCATGTTAAGAGTTCTGTCCTCTGGTATATAACGCTATGTAGCCCGTTGAAAGTCAACCGAAGTTTCGGAGGAAACATGTCACCCCCAATTTCAACGTCGATTAATAAGCCAATAAAANAAAAAAAAAAAAACAGCACGAAGCAGCATGGCTCTGCTTGAGGTTGTTATGGCTGTTAATGTTAAGATTACGGTCTTCGGAGGGTATGATACCATGTAGCATGGCGGAAAAGGAACGGCGTTTCGGATATATCCGCTGCTTCCATCTTCGGGGCAGAAGACGTAAACTAGTTCCGACGAATTCCGGTTTACATCCACGTATTTAGCACGTACAGCAACCTCCTGTGATAGAGAAATGTTCTGCTAACAATTTCTTCATAGAAATAAAAGTTAATTCTTCTGTCTCCTCCCCCCCCCCC